TGAAGGAAATGAATTATCAACTTATGACTTAATCATGCTAACTTTAAATATGCGTTTTAAATCATAAAGCTTTCCTCTGCTTCCCATTTTAACTCCCCCATAGCTTCTACCACTTTATGCCTTTCATTAGATCTAAATGTGAATAGTAATTCATTCAACAAACATTTACTGAGCACTCAATATATGCTAGACAGTCTAGTATAATGAAAAGAACATGAGCTTTACATTCAGACCTGGATTGAACTTTGGATCTGCTTTGTCCACTTGGGCCAGTTCTTCAACTTCTTTGAGTCTAACCATTCATAGTGCCTGGCATGTGGCAGGCGCTCAGTGAGTGCTATAGTACAATCCATTCCTTTCTCCCAGCCCAGTGATATCCCAGCCCTCTGAGAGTATACATTTTTCTTGAAGAAATAGACATCTAACAGATAATTATAACACCTGGTGTTAAGTGTTATAGTAAGAGGTATGAGCAGTGTTATTGGGAGCCCAGAAGGAGCCACTAGTGCTTCTTGGGGAAATCAAGGAAGATACACAAAGGAGATGTACTGAATGTTCATTATCTCCCCGAGGGCAGGGAGTGTAACTTTTGTATTCGTACAGTGCTTTGCGCATAGAAAGGGCTCAAGAAATGTTTATGGAATTATGTAAGTCATTTAACTTTTGTGTTTTTAGTGTGTGACTTTCTCGGAGAGAAGATTGCATCTGTTTTGGGCATCAGCACCCCAAAATACCAGTATGCCATTGATGAGTATTACCGGATGAAGAAGGAGGTGTGTCTCCTTTTTACATTTTATTGATTCAGTTTGGTTTGCTGTGGACTTCATGGGTTGCATAATGAAGACATGTATCCTCTAGCTGCCCCAAAGATAGCTCCCTTATACTAGGCATTTCATTCTTGAGTCATTAATTTCTTTATCAAATTAGCATACATTTTAGAATTTTTTAATACTGAAATTCCCCTACAATCTACGTGCACAATTAAGCTAGATTTCACGTGCTAATTGCTGTGAGAGGTGCCTTAGGTATGTTATTTAATTTAATCTTCACACACCTCTCTTTGAATTATTATTCCAAGTATAAGATGAGGAAACAAGACCTGGTCTCTGTACTTAGGACACATAGACTGGATGTGGGAGAAGTGGAATGGCTCTGATGCACAGGAAATGACCAATACTAGAAATGTGTAAGTGCCAGTTGTTAAGGCACAAAGATATGAGGCAATTTTGTGTGCAGATGTTGTGAGGTCTTAGGGTGAGGGTGAAATGAGTTTACGTTTAAAGAGTGAGAAAGCTTTAGTTAGCATTTAAGAGTGTGGGCTCGAGAGAACCAAGTGCTCTGCCACTTCTAACTTTGTAACCTTGGGCAAGATACTTAACCTATATAAGCTGCAGTTTCCTCGTCTTTGTAATGAGGAAAATTGCAGCATCCATGCTCAGGGTTGCTCTAAGGATTAAATGAGTTAATATGTAAAATGCTTAGGGCAGCACAGAGTGTATATTGGTGAGCTTGAAATAAATATTAGAATCTTTCATTACTCCTTCAAGCAAACAAGGAGGGCAATTCCGGTAAAGCTACAATGTAGAGGCATGAATCTAGAAAGCTCAGCTCAGCTGACTGTATTTGTTATGTGGTTTCAAAAATGTTTTATGAACAAATGAGTGTTTTTAACTCTACTAGCCTTGTTTAGAGCCTCATTACCTCATCTGGACTATTGTGATAGTCTCCTAAATGGTCTTTCTCCTTCACTCTCAGAAAATCTCTAGCTTAATCATCCTGACAGGTTACTCACTCTGTACTGACTCACCATACTACAGGGACCAATGCAAATGCCACCATTTCCTCCATCAATTTAGCAGTTCTGGAACTAGAAGTTATTTACTCTCTAAATCTCTATAGTGGTTATTCCTTTCTGTTTTAATACTCTTCTTAAATGTCTTAACTTCCTTCCTAGATTGTAAACTTCTTGAGGGCAGGGACTGCCTTATCTGTCTACTAGGTGCTTATGGGAACACTAACCATGCCATATCACTTAAGTGAACAGGCCACCCTATTCCACTGAATAGGCTGACACCCTGTAACTGTAGTGATACAGTATTAGCTAATGTTTTATTTAGATTAGAATTAACCTGAAGAGATCCAGCCCATGTCAAAATTAATTCAGGTCTCATCTAAGCTAAGCAGTGCTATACTGTGTTTTAAAAATAGCTTCACCACATATACTTCATACAATAGTCTTCATTTCAATTTGGAAACAGGGGAAGGGGAAGTATGTCTTGTCTTAATTGGATGAAACTGAATTGGACATGACACTAATGTTTTGGTTAAAAAAAAGGCATAAGCAGCTGAAAGTGGGAGAAAAATACTATTCCTTTTGGACGTTTATATTTCAACTATTCTTGATATTTCCTCCTTTTAGGAAGAAGAAGAAGAAGAAGAAAACAGGATGTCTGAAGAAGCAGAAAGACAAGGCCAGCAAAATAAGCTGCAGGCTGATTCCATTGTTCAGTCAGATCAGCCAGAAACACTTGTATCCAGTTCATTTGTGAATATCAATTTTGAAATGGAGGGAGACTGTGAAGTAATTATGGAGAGCAAACAAAATCCAGTCTCTGTCCCTCCGTAGAATGAAATGACCATCAAACTTCTAAGGTAGTTTTTATACCAGGAACTTTCACACTCTCTATTCAATGGGACTTAATAGTTATTTATATTTTAAATTATTAAGTTATCTGGAAAGGGAAGAATGTTTCTTTATTCTTAGGCTCTATCTAGCAAAAGCCAGATCTGAAATTTGGATATTTGTACTACGCTTTTACTGTCAGATTAGTGCTTTGGTTTTAAAATGATCTTTTAAAAAAAGTTAAGGACATTCTAGAACCCTAACCACCAATTAAGAAGAGTTAAATTATCAAGCTTGTCTGTTATTTGTGAAAGAAAAAAAAATAGGTAAGTTGCTGAATAAGGCTAACTGGAGCTGATATTCGTAGTCTCAGATTAAAATGAGGATTTTTCCCCTAGATCTTCTCATATTATGTCTTACATTTATATATCTAACCATTCATTTCATACTAAGGATGGTTCACTGAATGTGTAATAAAAGGAGCAAGATGAAAGCATTTTGAATTTTCTTTCCTTGAGAATTAACTTTATTTCATGGGAAGGTGATTGAGTTTATAACACCATCAAATCTTAAGATGGGTTTCCATTTTTTAATGAAGGTTAATCTTAATGTATTTGTATTCAAATGGTAATACCTAGTGATTACCCACATGGCATCCTGTTTATGTCACTCTTTCAGCCCTGAATGCCTCCTATGAGTCAAGATTGGGGGACAGATGAAGACTTAACCCTCCAGGGCTCACTGTTAAATATTGTACAATGTGCAGTGGTAGCATAATGAAGTTACCTGTCATTCACCACTTGGAAGCAACAACAGTGGATGGTTTGCTTGACCCAGTTGGCCATCTCTGTACCCACTGTGCCATTAGCAGACCTTACAAAAGTATAATATGAAACTAATTTTGAAAATACTCCTCTATGTGTTCAGAATCTTATATCTGTATGACTTAGATTCATAACTAAATGTGGATGAGAAATATGTAGAGTATTTCAGATATGCTGCTCTTAAAAACCTATTCACAAACTTAGTTTTTAGGATTAATGGTTGTTAATAGCCTTCTAAATAGCATTAAGCTTTCAATCTTAACTATATCTACATAGCTTCAAAGAAACAACATAGCTACAGTGGGCTTATTATGGAAGTCTGTTAGCAATGAACATGAACATCTGCTCACTAAGTTCCTCAACTGAAATTTGAAGGATTTAGGAAAGATAATTCTTCATTAGGAATCCTCAGTTACATGGATTCATGGTATGGTGGTTCATGGCATGTGACGGTGATCTTTTTGGTCATGGGTATAAACTATATAATTTAGTGCTTAAAGGATTAATTGTCAGATTATGTAATATCATAAATTATAGTTTACCAGTAGCTCTAAAGAATGCTAATCTGATGTGTTCCCTATAATTTTTTATCTTCATTTGAGAAGATATTCAAGCTCAAATATTTATTTGGTTATCCTGTAAAGGCAAGCATATCTAAAGGCGATCTGAATCTTCTCTCCCTAGAGGCACTAGATCTAAAAGAAAGACTCAGAAACTTTTCTGATTGTAGTAGAAGGAAGATAATGATTAATGAAGGTTTTACATTTCTTGAATTTTACTTTTTCTACTTGTCCAAAAGTGGCCAGTTTGTAATGTTTATATAGTTATTCACTGTGCCTTAAATTTTTATACTTTTTATTTATGCAAACTATAAAATTTCCCATAAATGCATTGAATGGTTTTGTCTTATTTTTAAGCCTCTTTCACTTTTTCTTCCTTTTCAACCCTTTTAATAGTTACTGTTCCTTCTGAATCATAGTTCATGATATTCTACCCTCTTCTTTCATCTCTTAAAAATTAAACAGTATAATTGAGAATCTTTACACTTAGTTAACAAATTCTCTAACAAAAATCCTTAACAAAATGGAGTTAAGTTTTTTAAAATGTAACCCTGGTGCTGGTTAATAAAGGTAGACAAATTTTTTTTAAAACAATGATTTTAAAGTAAAATACTAACTTGAATACTTTTTATTGAAACATTCTATTAAAATAAACATCATGTCCAAATACTTCCCAGAAATGAAATGGCCCTACTCTGATGAATGGGGAAGTCTATAATGTTTGATATACATAATACTTTAGAATATTCAAGGTTAAATGATACATTTTAAACTATCTTTCAAGTATTCAAATTCTTAGTGACTAATGTCAGAACTATTCCATTAAAACTTCCTTTATTTCCAAAGATTATACAGATTTAAAGTGGACTCGTACCTTCATCAGATCACACTTGCCATATATGAGCTAAGTGAAACCAGAATTTACTGACTCCTAATTTGGTCCCATTTCTTCCAGACCACTACAACCAAAATTCCAATAACCAGAACATTTGCTGTGTTCTATAGACATATGAAGTATTTTATTTAGACCATTTCTAAGGATTCTGCTTCAAAGGTTTTACACGCAGCATTCAAGCTTATTTTAATGAATACAGTCTAGTCTTTGAGAGATCATGTATCATCAAGGTCCGCAGAGTTTTCATTATCATTTGCAACAAGGGCTTCTCTATTCTCGTAAGTCCAGAAGCCATTCAGATCAATTAGAATGGTGGTGACTGTGTCTCCTTGATTACTGCTGATTAAATCCTGAAGAGAGATTTTCAAAGGATCCTTTGGTTTTACCATGTCAAAGATTTCATCCTGCAAGAGAGGAAAAAAATACAATGAAATCTGATATCTGATTCACTTAATTTCTATCATACAGTGATCTAAAATTCAGGGCTGGCAGTTGAGCTTATGTAAAATTTTTTGTTCCAATTTTTTATTTTTCATTTAACAGGCAATCCACCTCTTCTCTATACGCACAAAATTTTATTGGAAGATTCCTTAGGTACAGGCATACCTTGGAGATACTGTGAGTTCAGTTCCAGACCACCGCCATAAAGTGAATATTGCAATACAGGTAGTCATGTGAAATTTTTGGTTTCCCAGTGCATATAAAAGTTATATTTATACTATACTGTAGTCTGTTAAGTGTGCAATAGCATTATGTCTAATAAAATATACATACCTTAATTAAAAAATACTTTATTGCTAAAAAAATGCTAACCACCATCTGAACCTTCAACGAGTTGTAATCTTTTTGCAGTAGTAACACCAAAGATCACAGATCACCATATAACAAATGTAATAATAATAATAATAATAATAATAATAGAATATTGTGAGAATTACCAAAATGTGACACAGAGACACCAAGTGAGCAAATGCTGTTGGGAAGATGGCACCGATAGATTTGCTTGACTAGGGTTGCCACAAACCTTCAATTTATAAGAAATGCAATGAAACAAGGTATGCCTGTATGTGTCTTACAGAGAAACTGAAGCTCAGAGTTTAAGCTGCATAGCTAATTAGCAGCAAAACTAATGAAGTGTTCTTTGAATATATGTTAACTAACTACTTATATTTTTCTGTTGTCTTCTAACTGGTGATAAAGCAAGGCCTTGATTTAAGTGCAAACTTGGCTCAGAGTAAAAACTTAAATGCTTTAGAGCCAAGACAGTGACAAAGCTTCATTTCCAATAATGATGTCAACCTTTTACTCTGGACCTGGAATGGGTGGGGGGAGCTCGGTATTAAAGAACTAGTCATCCACGGTGACACTAAACTGTGCTAAAAATGACTGGAATATATGGAAGAACCTCTTCTATATTATGACGTGTACTATAAGATTACTTACAGGGAATTAGTACATGTTTTCTAATCTGTTTGTAGTAAAATCACTCAAAGTATTTAATAGCATTTAAAGAGGCAAATTGCATTTTTAAAGGTTAGAACAATTGAGGTAAACGAAATGCGTGAACTTTTAATCTTGTGTGTATGTGAAACTTCCCTTTCCAGGTTGGTGGCAGTTTAAAATTACTAGTTCTTAAGTTGCCAGTTGCATAGTTTCAAATTTGTCTCACTTATATTAAACCAAAATAGCCCTTTATCTCATTATACTTGGTTAAAACTGGATGGGTTATTTTATTACATTCCTTCACCTGAACCAATACTGGATACTCAAAGTGTTTCAGAGCTGGTAAAAGTCTGATGACTAAAATGCTAAGTAGCAGCATGTATTTCAAATAGTGGTAGTTTTCATACTGTAAGATTGATGTCTCCTTAAATACCAAAGCAAGCAAGCTCTTTGAAGTGGCAGACTAAAAACGTGCCTGAACCTAAATAGCTCCCCCAAATTCAGTTTACAGTGGAATAGACTACCAAAGGACACAGGCTGTACTGATTCTCTTAGTTTTCAATCAAAATGAATGAATGCTTCCAATGAGAACATGAGACTGACAATGCTAAAATCTTATTGCACAAATCATTAGTCCAAGTATGTTCTCAGTTTCTAATGACTTAAATATTAATTCAGAACAAATAACAGCAAATACTTGATTTGGTTCAGTATTTCATAAGTTGCTTTCAGGTAAAAACTTCATTTAATGGAAATGATTATGTGGTGTTATGTAAATGAAAGAAAAAAAGTAACCTTGACATCCTGAAATGAAACAGGATCCTGTCCATGGATTTTCATTAGTTCTTGTATGGCCTGTATTTAGTAGAAATAAATCTTTAAATAAAAACAAGATACGCAACATTCCCTGTCCTGTCCCATGGTCCCTTTCCAGTTCCATTTCCTATCCTTTCAGAGCATAGGCCTCATCGTTTTAACCGCTCTTGCCAATATT